ATATTGAATTACACAAATTTTAGAAATATAATGTTCACATTCAATTCAATCATATCAACACTATCAAAGAATACAGGCAAAATAGTTTGTATAACCTCGTATATTTCTTATTTAAGTATGAAATATACAAGCATATTTTTTTAGATAACACAATACTGTTGTAATTGTAAAAATAATTTGCAATCATTTTCTTATATCATGAAAATATTTCTAGATATTACTTCAAAAACTTTCCAAAAAACTAAAATTCATAAGCTAATAAAAATATGATAAATACAAAATTCGTGCAACGCACATGACAGCGACTAGTATGAAGAAAAAGGGCAAATGACTAACCTATTCAATGTAGTGAAGTGGCTCTTGTATTCAATGTTCACATGCCCAAGATGGGTTCAATTCCCAACATTGTGAAATTAATTTTTCCTCCAATTTTCGGGGCGATTTTGAGGTGGAAACCTTGTTCCCTTGTAGTGTCTCTACACGAGATAAGAACTCTTTTCCTAGCCGGGCCAGCCTACCCTAATTCCTCGATTAATCAAGAATTTTCTGTTATTTAGGATAGTCCTTGTTGGCATCAAGACAATCGAAAATAATTGTCATCCTAACCTAAAATATCATTTTTGAATGTTGAGACCCGAAACCATATTAATTCAAATGTTATCTAGCACAAATCTAATTTTTCTCATATTGAATAGAAATTCACGTGCCCACCTTTAAACAAAACAATTGTAGAAGAAAAATCAAGAAAATATAAAGAATATCGCAAAATTCACTTAAAGGCCACTGCCTCCCACTACTGGGCAAATCTCCTGAATCGAACCGAATCGAACCTGACGGTTCTTCTCAAATTAAATACCCAAACGGGTATCTGAATTAAGAACTGACGGGTACGATTCGGTTCTCGATTCTAGACGAAGAACCGAATATTCCTAATTTTTATTTTTTTATATTGAATAAATCAAATTATTTTAATTTTTTCCAAACAAATTAACAAATTAGGTGATTAATTGATACTTTATCTCCTAAGCCCTAGCCTAGCTAGCTTGACCTAACCCAACCAATTTCTAAATCCAATTTTTTGGCCCAATTATTTGTTTCATTTCTATTTTTTTAATTTTTAGCCCAAGTGTCATTTTTAGTTTTTATTCTTCCATTTTTTTAGCCCAACATCCAAGTGATCCAACCCACTAGTGACTAACCCTAAATAAATTACACACATTATCACCTACACATAACACATTTGACATTCCAAAACTCAAATAGATGTATAGAACCTCCGACTTCGAGTCCGAAGCTATGACCTCCGGGCTCCGATGACGACCTTTGACCGTTGATTATTTGAATAAGGTAGTGTGTAAGCTTTCCTATATGTGATTGGTAAATTAATCTTGTTGGACAACTTGTTATATACATGTCAAATTGGATTACGTTAATTTATAAAATTACGATTGAATGTGTTATTAGTTGTATTTATATAGTGTTGTTATAAATGTTAAAAAATTTAATTATATAGTACAGAACAGAACCGAACCGAACGGAACTGAACCCGAACGGTTCCATAATTATATTTGGACCCGACAGTTCTATTTACTAAATATCCAAAATTTTTGGTTCGGTTCTCTAGTGTGTAAGCTTTCCTATATGTGATTGGTAAATTAATCTTGTTGGACAACTTGTTATATACATGTCAAATTGGATTACGTTAATTTATAAAATTACGATTGAATGTGTTATTAGTTGTATTTATATAGTGTTGTTATAAATGTTAAAAAATTTAATTATATAGTACAGAACAGAACCGAACCGAACGGAACTGAACCCGAACGGTTCCATAATTATATTTGGACCCGACAGTTCTATTTACTAAATATCCAAAATTTTTGGTTTGATTCGGTTCACTTTAAAATCGAACCGAACCGACTTACGCCCAGGCCTAATCATAACAATAATTATATACATCTCTACCTTATTTCAATACCATTCCTTTCACACCATGTGGGACCCATCTTTAAACTAATGGTCAAAAATTGATTTTCAAAATAAGCTCCTAACAGGTTCATAGAGGTATAATCATTAGGCCCTTATTAAGCCGAGTTACGAACAATTTTTTTTTTCAAAATTAGTTTTAAAATAAATAAAGTTTATCTTTTGTATATAGGTGGTCGTGGACCATGAGCCTCTACCTAAGTCCAAGTGGTGTGGTCTCGAGCCTTGGCGGCTAGGTGCACATTTATTTTTCTAGTTTTGAATCATCCGTATAGTAATTAATTCACATGCAGATGCTTAGTTATATGCAGACAAGATGATCCTCCATTAATTTACACAAATGGAACGATTCCAACCATTCGAAACTTGTGCTATTTGATGATGATATTAAATGGTGCTAAAAAATATGTCATTTCATATGTGAATCTATTCATAGATCTTATCTACACAACTAACACATCATAATCAATGACTGTCATTACAATATTGCGTGACAAATTATCGAACTTTCACATAACATTATTTAGGAAATCTTTCTTTTGACTTTATGTTTCATTGTAATAATCTAAAGATCTCATGAATCCATTTCGAAAATAGAACATGACTTCAATTCAATTTGGCAATTTATACTAATCTATCTTTTAATTTGAGGAATTTCCTTTATATTTTCTTGCTTAACATAAATATACTTTGCATTTTTAATTTCCAGCCTATTTCATTATTTTAATTTTGTGATTGTCATCAACAATGAAACGAATACTAGTTTTATTGAAACAATCTTTCATGCCTAATTAATTTAATCCTTGAGCAATAAAAATCATATTTCTTTTGGAATTTATGGTTGGAATGTGAAATAAGAATCACCCGAAAAATAAAAATAAAATCAATTTAAGAAATCAAGATCGTTACTGGATGTTTACATGTAAATTTAATCAATAAATAAAAAATATCTAAAATTTACCCAAATTCGATAATTAATTCTTAAATCAGATATGAATAGCGAAATTTCAGTCTTTTGAATTGTGAAATTTCAATTTTGATTCCAATAATTTGATTTAAGTTTCAAGCCTTCTATTCATCAAAATCAAGATTACACTAGTGTGTGGACATCTTCTTTTAATTACACCAAAAATTAAATTATAGACCTTAGAAAAATCACTTCAATCCATATAAACTTTTGGTAAAAGTTTAAAATATCTACTCAATAAATCTTAATGTCTCTTATGATTTTTATAGTGCTATGTTGATTTCCAAAGGGAGTACTATTTCATGTTTGACAATACATCGTTTTCACAACTAACACCAACAATTTTATTTAATTTCTAAATTAAAAAAGGAGATGCTATTTACATCCACCATTATTATATTTATCTACTTTAAAAAAGAAAATTATATTATATTTTTAACCTTATGTAAATTTACTTAAATATCATTATAAAATTAAATAAAAATATATTAGTCTAAATTTATCCACTAATATTTATTTTCATTAAATTCTTCTGGACTTTTTATATTCTTTTAAATTTATGTTTAAATAAAATTCTAATATTTATAAAATATCCTCTTCGACTATAGTCAAAACAACAATGAAAGACACATCATAAGGGCAAATGCATATAGACATAACAATATATGAAAAAAGAATTTGAAAAAGTAGGATTGCCTTTCATTGTAAGCATAATGAATTTAGTATGTGAACAATTCTTAATTTTTGTTTGGAGTTTTGATAATATGCATTTTAAACTCAAGTTGTATCAGTAAGAAATTTTATTACAAATTATTTTAGTTTTCTGTTGAGATTATCTTTTTTTCTCTAAATTTTTTGAATTAAAAATATTGATAGTTATATTTTCTGTTGGGATTAGTAAAACAAGAATTTGAGTTTCCTGCAGGGATTATCTCTTTCTTTTTTCCCCTTTCTTTCTTTCTTTCTTGATTTTCTTTCTATGGATTTATAAGGACAATTTTGAAATATAGTGCTTGTTTGGTAGGGAATTTTGATAATATATATATGTCCCGTTTGGGAGTGATTTTTCACCCCAAAAATATGATTTTTTGATTGTTATTTTATTATTCCAATCATAATTTTTGACTTCTTCTTTCACAGGTGGCTCCCACATTTTTCCTAACGATTAAAAAATCAATTTTCAAAATCACTATCGAATATGCCTATAGAGTGTAATAAATATATATCTAATAATGAGAGTAAACAGCGACTCTATAAAAACTATGACTCTTTGAATGAACATATATTATTGAATGACAAATAAAGTACTATAAGTTACAAGATTATTCCAAAAAATGTGAGACTCTAGTTGCACAATTTGAATAAAATTCCAGCAACAGTGACATTAACTTTGAAAGGGACTCAATTTTTTTTATTTTTTTTTCATTACTATCTGTGAGGTGACACACTTTTTTATCCTTAATTTCAACGACACTTAAAATAATTCATGACATATATTTTTATATATCATACAATGTCAACCTTAATGTATGCATAGTTGATAAAATATACAAATAGCATTTTCCTTTGAATAAATGCGTAAATAAATATTTTCCAAATAATTATTCCAAAAAGGATTAGTCAAAATAAATTGAGATTGTGGTTGCACGATTTTGGATGTTTGGACTTCCTGAATAATTGTAAAAATGTTAAGTTAATTCGAAGAGCTTTGCTGGGCCACACAATCCATTGTTATTGATCAGTTTCACTGTTGCCTTCATCGTGTTCTTTGACCCCACCATGTTGATTAATTGAACCAATGAAATTTCTCCGTGTTCATTGACCCCACCATTTTGTATAATTGAACCCAACCACTGTTGGGTTCAATTATTGATCAGTTTGCTGGGCCAGATGGATGCTTGGGTTCAATTATTGATCAGAGACAATCCATTGTTATTGATCAGTTTCACTGTTGCGATCATCGTGTTCTTTGACCCCACCATGTTGATTAATTGAAACCAATGAAATTTCTCCGTGTTCATTGACCCCACCATTTTGTATAATTGAACCCAACAACCAGCAGACGACTTTCATTTATACATTATACAAGTCAATCTCACTTGCATTCATCCCTCTTAACTCTTGCTTCCTATCTTACAAAAAAGATAATAATGGCTGTAATCGAAGTTTTTCTAGGTGCAGTTCTCACTGTTTTGCTTGAGAAGCTGGCCTCTGGTGAGCTACTGAAATTTCTGCGTCATGTAGGAATCGACGCCCAGCTGGTAGAATGGAAGACAACTTTGAAGAGGATCCAGGCAGTGCTTACTGATGCTGAAAACAAGCAAACAACGGACAAAGATGTGAAAGAGTGGCTAATTGATCTGGAAGATTTGGCTCTTGATCTTGAAGACTTAGTGGATGAGTTGAATACTGAAGCCTTGCAGCGCAAATTAAAGGAAAATAAAGGCAGCACCAGTAAGGTAAAAAAGCTCGTCCCCACTTGTTGTACTAATCTTTCTTTCACTGATTTCATGTCTGATCGCGGGATTGCTTCCAAGCTAAAAGAGGTCAGTGGCCGGTTGAAAGATCTGGAAGAACAGAAAAAATTTCTCGATTTGGTGGAAAATGTAAGGGGAAGGTCTTATGGAAGATTGCCAACAACTTCGCTCGTGGTAGAATCGAAAGTTCATGGAAGAGAGAAGGACAAGGAGGAAATACTGAATATCTTATTTGGTGTTGAATCAAATGATAGTCAAATATCCGTGATTCCAATTGTGGGCATGGGAGGTATCGGCAAAACAACTCTGGCCCAACTTGTGTATAATGATGAAAGATTGAAGGACAAGTTTGATCTTAAGGGATGGGCTTACGTTTCGGAGGAATTTGATGCTGTAAAAGTAACAAAAAACATTCTTGAGTCAGTTTCTTCTGGTGGAAAGTGTGATTATGAAAATTTTGACACGCTTCAGAACAAACTAAAGGAGAGCCTTTCAAACAAGAAATTTCTAGTAGTTCTAGATGATATTTGGCATGAAAATTACGAAGATTGGGAGATCCTAAGCCGTCCTTTTCTTGCTGGAAAACCTGGAAGCACAATCATCATTACCACTCGACAAGAAAGGGTGGCCAAAATCATGTCTGAAATTCCAGCATACAATCTGGATCTGTTATCAGAGGGCGATGCTTTATCATTGCTAGCTCAACATGCATTTGGAGCTAAAACTTTTGACGGTCATCCAGCTTTAATAGAGATTGGTAAGTCTATGGTAAGAAGATGTAAGATGTTGCCCCTGGCAGTAAAGGCCCTTGGGGGGCTTCTTCGAGTTGGTCGTGAAGATTGGGAAAAGGTGTTGAAAAGTGAAATCTGGATGAATGAAGAAAATATTGGAATTCTTCCTGCTCTAAAACTGAGTTATCACCATCTTCCTCCGGAATTGAAAAGATGCTTTGGTTACTGTGCTCTCTTTCCCAAGGACTACGAATTTGACAAGTTCCAACTAGTGTACTTTTGGATGGCTGAAGGTCTTCTGCAGGAAACAAAGAAAGATAAGTTAATTGAAGATGTTGGTAGTCAATATTTTGATGAACTATTGGCTAGATCATTCTTCCAACAATCAAGTGCCAATGCTTCACGCTTTGTGATGCACGACCTCTTTAACGATCTAGCTATGTCTGTTGCTGGTGATAAATGTTTGAGGATGGATGATGAACTGCAGGAGATTTCTGTAAAGGTCCGTCACTTGTCATTCAAGCGCAGGATGTTTGAAACTTATCCTAGATTTAACTTTCTTGACAAAGTTCAAAAGTTGAGAACCTTTTTGCCACTACCTGTTGAGGCGTCATTTAATTACTTATCCCAAAGAAATTTGCTTCACCTATTCGCAAATTCATACTGCTTAAGAGTGCTATCCTTGAATGGTTATGCCATATATGAGTTGCCAGATTCTATTGGTGATTTAAGACATTTAAGATACCTGGGCCTAGCTGGAACAAGACTGAGGTGGTTGCCTGAATCTGTGTGCACTCTTATCAATTTACAAGTGTTGATTCTAAGTGGTTGTAGTAGACTTACCAAATTACCCACAAGCATGGAAAATCTTGTTAAACTTCGGTATCTGGACATTACTCATACTTGCAATTTACATGAGATGCCTCAGGGAATTGCTCAACTAACAAGTTTGCGAACGTTAACTAAGGTGACTGCAAGTAAAAATAATGGAATGAGTTTAAAGGAGTTGGGCAATCTATCATTTCTACAAGGTAATATTTCTATTGAGGAATTGCAAAATGTTGTGAATGTTAAAGAAGCAACGGAAGCAAGGCTAATGGATAAGCCAAGCCTCAACGGAATAAGGTTGGAATGGAGCGCAGGCTTTGATGATCCTCGGAATAAAATTTTAGAATTGAATGTGCTTAATGCATTAAAGCCCCATAAGAACTTATCAACACTTGAAATCAAGTATTACGGGGGTGAGAATTTCTCTAATTGGATTGAAGATTCAGCATTCCTTAAGTTAGCAAGGATAAGCTTTGAATATTGTAAAAATTGCACGATTTTGCCACCATTAGGGCAACTACCTTTGCTAAGAGACTTAAGCATTCGAGGCATTGATCAAGTAAAAGTGATTGGAGCTGAATTTTATGGAAATAGAGGCCATGGAGAATTACCTTTTCCATCACTCATTAATCTGACTTTTAGTGACATGTCTAACTGGGAGGAATGGGTTGGAATAGGAGGTGTTATCCAACTTCCTAAGCTATGCTCATTGATTATAACTGATTGTTCAAAATTGGTCAGTCTTCCAAATCTTTTACTGCCATCCCTACGTCACATAAATGCTGCTGGGTGTAATGAGGTGGTGCTAAATAGTATGCAGAATTTGAAATCTTTAACCAGCATAATATTGTGTAGAATTTTCGGATTAACTTCAATTATCAAAGCATTTGTACACTTTCCTTTTACACTTGAAAGTGTCACAGTTAATGAATGTCACAACCTTGTGACTCTATGGCCAGGTGATAGTACTGCACGAAACCTAGTTGACCTACAACGCGTGGATATTGACAGTTGTCCTCGGCTATTGTCCCTTCAAGAGATTGACGTTCTTCCCGATCTTAGGAGACTTTATATAAGAAATTGTGGAGCTCTGGAGTTGTTGCCTCATAAAATATCTTGTCTTGAGAGATTGTCTATCAACAAATGTCCATCGTTAAGGACGATGATGAAGCTACAGAATTGCAACATCTCGCTCGATTATCTAAAAATTTCTCGTGTGAATTTGAATTTGGCAAATTTACTAGGCTCTGGCTCCAATTACCAAAGTCTCACTCATCTACAAATACGGTCTTGTGATGGTCTAGAATTGTTTCCCAATGGAGGCTTGCCCACACCAAATTTAAAACTACTAAAGATAATTGAGTGTCAACATCTCAAGTCGTTACCTGATCGGATGGATCTACTTTCATCCCTTTCGTTCCTGGGGGTGTCTTCTTGTGCTTCATTGAAGGAACTCTTTCCCCAGGAGGATATTCCCCCAAATCTGTGTCACCTTGATATCAGAAATTGCGGAAAACTAAAACCCCCGGGGGAGTGGGGCCTACACAAACTCACCTCTCTTCAAACCTTTGAATTTGGTGGATGTCTAGAGCTGGTTTGCTTCACTAACAATGCTGACGAAGAACACTGTGTGCTTCCTCCATCTCTAACAGCTTTGTCGTTGGATGACCTGCCGAATCTCGAAACACTATCAAGGGGCTTCCAAAGCCTCACCTTTCTTCAACATTTATGCATCTCTAGATGCCCAAAGCTTGAGGCGTTGCCTATGGGAGACTATCTTGAAAAGCTTTTGAGCCTTGACATTCAAGGCTGCCCACTTCTTAAGAAACGGTGTTTGAAGAACAAAGGAGACTACTGGCCCATCATTGCTGACATTCCGGTCGTCGAAATTGATTCCCGATCCATCTATGATCCATGTCCATGAATTCAATTACACGAGGTAACAGATTTAATTTGATACCTATGAATCTCAACATCATTTCATGCAAAACACTTCTCGACATTTCTGTCAATTTTGTTTTCAAACAGAATGTGAATTTTCTGCAGCAAATAGTGGATCTCCCTTTCTGCAATAGCTATTCAAGTGTTCATGCCACTCTGTATCTTATATTTGTGCTTCTGCTCTGCAGCATAAATCAATATCAGAGCCGATGTACCAACAATCAAGTAACTGATCGGCTATGGCGCTAAAATTAGCCTCTTTTTGTACTAACAGTAAGATTCTATCAAATAGATAAAATCGGAGTGATAATTGTTAGTCGAATGTGGTTAAATTATTAATATTTTGATTCGATCTGCTTTAGCAAACTGGAAATGCATTGATTTGACTTACTGTATGTTTATGCATTTTTGGGTTTTTATGTGGCATGCGTTTTTAAACTTCTCTTGTAGATTGGAGGTTCCTACGCCATTTGAATGGAACTAATAAAAATGACATCGTTTTGGTGTAGGCATTTTCTGATTACTTGTAAGAACACAAGATGGAATGAATGTGTCTCTTCATTAGACCTTCAAGTAAGTTTTTTGTTCGATTCTTTTGCGTTTTAAGTGTTTGTATAAATGCCTCAGTGAAATTATATGGCTGGATCTGTGACTGAAGCTATGTTCTTGCCTTTATTATTATTATTATTATTAATTTCATGATTTTAGTAATATTTTCTGAATAATTCTTTGAATGAACTTTTCCTTTTGGGGGTTTCCTTCCATAAATGTCAAGAAATCTGTTTAGTCTCTGAAAATTGTCTTGACTGGCCAAAAATCCTTTCTCGTGTGATTTTGGTGTGGTTTAAGGTATGAGGTACCATGTTTTACAATTGCTATTTTAAAAATTTTCTTGATTTTATTAGATTAACCTCTGCCGATTGTGTATTACATTCATCCGTATGAATTGGATGTTTTAATCCAATCTGAAGATTTGAATCATTGCTTCACAATTTCATGCAATTAAATTAAGAAACCGATTAATTTTTTATGTGAATGCTTTTTAATCGAAAACTTTATTTCAATTTGGAAAGTTCAATCATTTTAAGTTTGCAGTTATACCTCTTGCTGGTATGCATTTTTTTAATGTTATTAATTCATTCTAATTCTTATGGATTCTATTTCTTTGTATGGGACTTTTTCACTGGTTATAAATTTTGGCTTCTTTGAATTTTCACTTTCGTATTTATTTATTTATTTATTTATTTTTGGTAAATATTTTAAAAAATGATTGATAATATTGAATTATCCTAGACATTCTATAACATAATAAATTGATGTACTAATTTGTTAAATTCAATTATTCAGTATTCTGTTTCTTAATTTAGTTGATCAAGTAGGTTATTTTTTTTTTTTATCCTAATCTGGAATATATGTGCTCAGAATGTCGCTGTGAGCATATTGCCTGTCAAGAAGAATCATTTGAGTTGAGGACGATAAGATGTTACATTTTTTAGCTATGCTGTTTTTCAGCTTACTCCAACTTGAACTCGGTACAATTTTAATTTTTTGAATTAATTCAGTTTCCTTCAACTGATGAATTATTGCAGTATCAGTGTGAGTTTGTGTGGTTATTTCATATTTGCCTGTGATTTTGTATTAATCATTTGAGTTGAAATCCTGACTCGGATTTATAATCATTGTGGACCCAAATTGCTGATTTTAAGATGTGTTTTTATAGTAAACTAATTGCTGATGTCAAAATTCTTTTCATTAGTTTTGGGTTGATTAGTTAATAAGTTCTTCTGTCTTTTACTGTTTGGGGATTCAGCATGTGTTTCATTAATTGGTTCTATTCTTTTTTTATATGGTATGTACTGACTTCAATTTGGCAATTTCTTGGGGATATCTTTTTTGTCAAATTGTATTTTCACAGAGTTCAACTGTAAAAATGTGAAATATGTCCAATTATTTGAATTTTTGTTGATATTTTGAAATTGATATTATGTATTGATGAGCCATCAAGTTAAATTTAAAACGAATTCCATGTTGCAAATGCTATTTGGAAGTTGAATTTGCTCTGCTGGGTTGCAAAGTATACTTGAATTTATTTTATCAAAAGATGAATATTTATCATCTCTTAGTTTCCCCTTCATTGTCATATATCTTTACGAAATTCTTGTAGAAGTATTTAGATGATAATTGGATTGTGTTGATAATGTAGCTGGAAGATCATACGAGGAATTTCAGGAAAATAGGTTTTGTTGCTTGAGTCCATTTTATTTAAGGTGTCCGGAAAAAAAAGGTTGTGTGAGTGTGGAAAGTATATCATCCTTGCGCGTTTGGATCTGTTATTCATATTGATAGATGGCATTCCGTGTGTGGAAGCATATTTCACTTAAAACATATATTCACCTTGTGTTGTTAGGTAACTATTGTAGCTTTTCACATCTGCTTTCGTAATGGTTTATTGTTGTACATTTTATAGGCTAATGTTGCTAGAAGAAAATCGAATTTCTTTCTGCTCAAACGATGGAATGATGATTGATGGCATCACCTGGTTGCTGAAATGATAGGATTGTCGTAAGTTTTAACTTGCTATGTATAGCTTCATTTCTTGCTTTTAGTTTTGGTCGACTTCAACTCTATTAAGTATTTTGAGCCAAATATTTTTTATTAACAGCATCAACATAATTAAATTTATTTTACTCTTGAAACAACAAATATGTTTCCTCTTCCTTTTTGATGGAAGTTACATCACAATAGATCTGTCTTTTATATGAAGATTTTCTTCTTCTCAATTGCTATTGCACACTGTACTTGATATTAGTTGTGGGTCTGGTAGCTTTAATGCTCGTCTTCTATCGCTTAAGCTGATGTGTGACAGCATATGAGCCAACAGGTAGACATGTTCAATTGGCACTTGATAGAGGTCTCCCTTCAATCAAAACTTAATCTAAAGACAGCTCCCTCTTCATCCTTTGTCATATGAAGTGGTTCACTGCACTCAATGTAGCATTGTCTGTGATAACAAAGGTATGATCTTCATTAAGGTTTGGGGTTTTGTTTTTTTCCATTAAATCACCATTTCTTCATCAGATTAAGTGCAGTGGTTTTTATTGATTTTTCACCGATGAAAATTCTTGAAATTAATTTGACATTTAGCCTAATGTAGTGCGAACTTTTCTGTGGTTTTTGCTATTTTTTGCGTGCATTTCTATTTCTTTTTTGTTTATCACATTTTGTTTGATACTATAGTTATCTGTAATAAATTTTGCAATGGTAATATTAGGCTTGCTGTAAGGAAGGCCAAGAAGGAAAAGAAAGCGAATGATCCAAACAAGCCAAAGAGACCTCCAAGTGCTTTCTTTGTTTTCATGTATGCCCATTTGCATTTTTGGTCTCTAGCATTTCTGTCTATTGTTCTTATATATTATCTTTTTTATGCTGCTTGGCAGACTACAACAATAATTTGGTAATCCATCTATGAGAAGCACGGTGTTATACACAGTTTAGTTTGAATTGTGATACTGAAACGATTTGTGCCAAACTGTTTTTATAGGCTAGAGGGGCTGTTGAATTCGACAAGGCAAAGTCTGAGGTTAATGGTGATGAGGACGATGAGAACAGTGGAGACGTTAGTTGAAATTAAGCTCTACAACTTTTTTGTACTTGAAACTTAGCTACTATGCTGACTTTTTATTTTGTTTTAATTAATTTAGGAGGAAGATGATGAGTAAGCACTATCATGAAGAATTATTGTGTAAAATTTGGCTTCAGGTGAATTTTACTGAAATTAATTGAAAGTAATTATCAATAATACTCCTTTTTTAATTTTTATTTTTTAAAGTTGCTAATGTGTTTGTTCTTCCTTTCAGTGAGGGAACAAGCGTCTCTTTGCCATTAACTTGGGGCAAAAAAAGAGAGGAAACGTATGCCTTGTTTTTCATTATTGCCTATTGGTACACAAGACGTATTTAGAGGAAAGGGGTGGAGGAAGAGGGGGTTGAGTGCTTGTAGACCATGAGCAAAAAATGGCAGACTACAATAAGAATTTGGTAATTTCATCTATGAAATTCTCTATTACAATGCACTACGTGCATCTCACATGCGAAGAACTAGTTCGATAAATATTCAATATTTTGCAGCAAGCTTCATATCTTGTTAAATTTTGAAGGTCCTTCCTTTTGTGAAATCATTTAAGTTAAAAATGTTAAGAGAGAAAAACATTAATTTATTAATATCTTCAAAACTCTTCTTATGGTGCAGGTAGATTTAATTTTTCTATAAACATTAAATTTCTGACTTTGATGGGGATGATGTTATTATTTTACAGATTTTCATCTGGTCGTCCATTACCAATACAATTTCGAGACTCGATTTGATTAGAGACTAATAGCTCAGTCATCTACCAGGTCAAGAAAGTTATTAATTGGGTTAGTTGCTTTAAGCTTGTGGGCTGACCACCTATATGCCTGCTTTGCATATATTTCGTTGCCAGCTCCAATCCACATCATTTGATGACGTGTTGTTTACACCAAATTTGACTTGTACACAATATCTGTTACTACGAGAGTTAGAGAGAGAGGCCAATTCAAACCATCATTTGGTGACACATTTTTTAAGAGCAATCGTGGAACCTATATTTGTTAAGTGAAGTCAATGTTATGCTGAAGCAAACAAAAGATTATGACGATTGAGGATGGTCAAGTTCACATTTCACTTCTTATCTTTCCATTCTCTCTCTTTTAGAGTAAAGATCATTTGTAGTATTTCGTGGCTACCAAATATTCAAATACTCCAGGGAACATTGTAGATGTAAAATTCTGCATTATATAATAGGAGGAATTTTTTTTTTTTTTTTCCTAAATGGATTATCAGGTAAGTTGTCATTATTTGCAATAGTAATAGGCTTTTTATTATGATGTGCAGTTGCACATGTCCATGTGTGTCCACGTATACTTGTGTGTGTAAATGTGGAATAATGATATTTACAATCTATTCTTACCTATTAGCAATTAGCATTCTATGTAGATGTATTGTTACTGCCACATTTTCCTATAATTTTAGAGTAGGGATATTTGTAAGCATCGTACTGAAAACAACAATCTATATGACAATGAGATATCTGTCTTATTCTCCTATGAAATTGAGTTCGTTTTAATTTATTGAAGAATGTGATAGTGACCCCATTATTACATCAAATGTTGGTAATAAGTACTGTTATAAACTTAGCATACATTTAATTTATTGAAGAATGTTACAATAATCAACTGTCGCATGGACGGTTGATGGATAAGTACTGCTTACAAAGAGTATTACTCCTTAAAAATGGAAATTTACTCGGGATATGAAGCCAAGTGGACAAATATCAGACCTTGCTAAAGAAATTTCACTCTTAACAAATACGATTATCCATGATAGACCATATGAAAAATCAAAATTGAGGAACATTCTAACAATATCCCTCGACACCCATCTCACCCTTTTAACTATTTACCCACCAACCCCCACACTTTATATATAAATGTTTTTTCTTGTTTTTGTCTCAATTTTAAGGGTCAAAATGTCAAACAAAGTTAAAATATTAGAATTTTAATATCATTTTGAAGTGCTCATAGCTTAGTTTCTCGCATCATTAACGGCGCGTGAAATGACCGACCACAACAAAAGTTACAATGCGTCAAAATAGGTCATTCAAAATTAGTATTTCAAGAATTTCGATAATATGCTAACTTTAAAAATTTGTTGGCGATCGTATGCTAACTGAATTCAGAAATCGCTTGTCATCTTGATCCAAACCGATATAGGTTGTACATTGAAAATAATTAAATTATTTGAAAATTTTTGACGTCATGTGTCATGTAAAATTATCCTAATAAAATGATTATAAAATGATGTAAATTATATTAATATATTTGTTGAGCAAAAATAATAAATGTTAATGAAATAATTGAAAAATTTTAAAGGAAAAAATGAGTTATGCATCTCTTTTTGAGACGATCATTTAATTATTTTCGATATTCAAATTTTGGACCATTCGGTATGTCTACGATATAATTCTTAAAACTAAAACAAATTTTAAAATTAACATGTTATCGAAATTCTCTAAATACTAGTTTGGAATGATCTATTTTAAGACATCATAACTTTCGCTACGATTGAAAGTTTTACGCGCCGTTAACGATGCAAAGAATTAGACTGTGAGCACTTCAAAATGATATTAAAAATGTGATATTTCGATTTCATTTGACATTCCATAATGACCTCAAAAATTGAGACGAAAACAAGGGGGGAAAAAAACCTTTATATATGAAGAATGGGTGATAAGAATGGTGAGGCGTAGGTGTGGGGTGGGGTAAAAGGGGCGGGGGTCGGTAAAAAGTTAAAAAATTGGGCAAGTGCAGGAGGAAACAAAAGTTGCCACATTAGTAGTGGGTAGAATGTTCTCCTGCACACCATTGCCAGCAGAACAATTCTACGAAAAATAATACGCGAAGAATTAATTTCATAATTTGTGATCGATAAAAAGTTATAACCTATAAAATTTGTGATTTTAAGTGTAACGTTTTGTAACTGTGACTGATACGCAACCGTGATCATAAACTATATGATATTGCGATCTTAATATATTAATTATATATTTAATTAATGTACCATATTTAATATTTATGACCCGGGTTTTGGAAAATAAAAAAATAAAAATTTCAAGTTCGTCAAAATTGAAATTGTAACTTAAAATCTATGTAACTATGCATTCTTCCCATTATAAATAGCAGTGGTGGATATAATTTATCCATGGAAAAATGCAAAATCTCCATTAGACTAGAGGAACTGGCTGTCTCGGCAGAGTTATATATCGAATTTTACTTGTCATGCTGAGGTCGAGGGCTAAGATCTCTAGCTTACGTGTATATAGGCAGGGGCAGATCCAAGCACGGGCTCCACCATGCTATAGCCCGTGTACGGCCCTTAAAATGTCTACTGTATTTTTATTATTATTATTTTTTTTTATTGAAAGATAAATCCATGTATATTTGTATTGTAACCCGTGTTCAAACTCAAGACTGAATCCGCCACTGACATAGGCGTTTATTTCTAACCAAGTTACGAACACCATCACTACTAGTAGTCGAAGTGGGCAGATATACAACAGTTACCATCTAAAAATGGACCAAAAATAGTTCAGTGTGTTATAGCAGATCGATGACCACACACTTTGAGCCATCTAGGTATCAACTAATCATTTACTATCCTAGATTAAGAATAAGTCATTATAAGTGAAGTGTGACCTCCCATTTCCCTTGAGGAGACCCAAACTAACCATAATCGTATAGAATAGATGTAGTTCATAATCACAAATCAACATAGAATCAAGCAGAAATAATACAACCAACAGACGGTATACTCTGTTACATTAAATGTTGCTTTATTGAATTCCTCAACAGAACGTGAAAGTGTTCACACCTCTGTTTGAGTCTCATTCTTTCAAAAATTCATTTTTTCAAAACTCATTTTCAACCACACATCCTTCAATAAAGTAATATTACACGTAAATTCAAAACTTTTCTTTACTTGTTAACCACATATTCTCAATCAATCTACTATTCAAAATGCATTCTTTTCAAAAAAATGGGGCTCAAGCTAAGTGAAGACTTCACAACAATGTAAATGGTATTCTAGCAATCAATATTCCAGTTTCAAGTTGAAATGAAATTAAGAAAAGAAACATGTTGATCAGTCTTAGAAAACGGTCATATAAAGATATTAGAAAGCACATAACAATCAAGTGTATGGATGGAACCACCTTTACAACAACAAGAGAAACTGGATGACAGGCAACAAATACAGTATCATAAAGCACAACTAATCGAAGCTATAGGAATTAGAAAAATACAGACCTCGATCGATTGTATGAGACTCTTATTATGTATACGTAATAGTCTAGTTCAGTACATTTGATCAGCCAAGAAGAGGATTAAGAACGTGCCCAATGAATAGCACTACCCCCGTCATATCTTCTCTGATGATGAACAAAAATGGATGATCGGCAACAAAATCGAACTCATCCTCGACTAATAAACCCCTCAGTTTAACAAGACCAGCAGAAGCAGCAGCAGCTTCCGTGCCTTCCTCATTTACCTCGATAAATGACTTGTGGAAAATGCTAGAAACATAAAGGTTCTGACCAACTTGTGAGTCCACCATATCTGTGAGACCACCACCAGAAAAAGGCAACACGACTCCCAGTCCCTTGAGAACTTCCGAGGCTTCAAACCCAAATGACAATTTGAATTTTGGGATACGGAATTCACCAACTTCGACCTTTTGATATGGGAGGTGATGCTCCAAGAATCCTGATTCCGAACTGACTTTCTCTACCAAAGCCAGCAATCCATCTTTGGTGTCTGGAAGAAGGAAGTTCATAGAGAACTTGCGCTTATCTTCACCTTGCTTATACGGAAGGCTCAAAATTTTGAAACCATCAAAGGAACGTATATATTGCTTCTTCTTGCTACTCATGAAGGGTACTTGTACTGAGCTCCCATCTAGGAGGAAAAAGTCATGGTCCTTTGTAATTGATGCATCAAACTTCTCACTCCAAGCTCCTTTGAAATACACTGCATTTGCAAAGATGAGCCTCGTGGAAGCATCAACTGAGCCAGGTGGAAGAATTTCTTCGACAAGGCCACTTGTTTCCTTTTCAGCCCATTGATTGACTTCACCGATTACCTCAACAGCCTTCAGAAATATCAAGAATAAAGAACATAACAATTAATACATTGTTAAAGAAATTTACTTGCAGAAGTAGAAGTTCTACAACATGAATGATTTCACCCAGCCAGTTCCTCTTTCTCCTACAACTCAAGGTGTACAAGCAGATAAATAACTGTTTACATCATGAATTCGTTGACATTACAATAGAGACTATTATGTGTAAGGTTTATTCTAAATGTCATGGGCCATGAATACCATTTACAGATATACTTGAAACAGAAGTTGGTTACATGCTTATGAACATAACCACCACCAAAAAACAAAAGCAAAAGCAAAGCCGTCCCCAATAAATTTGGAGTCAGGGAGCTAGAAGCATTTTTCATCCATTCGACAGGGATTTCTTGGTGACCAATACTAACATGAAGACAAGAATAAATCGGATGTTATCCATTTGATATTTTCATAATATCAAACTATCACAATTCTGTAAACAATTACAGAATTTACAATTTTAAAAAAAAAAAAAAAGGAGGATAAAAATAATGCAAATTTTCTTACAATGTGAAGCACCACATGGATTTACAACCACTGGTGTATGGCAAGTGTTTTAAAGTTTAAAATTACATGTCATTCTATTTTGGTATTTGGGAAGATGAAATCGAAGTAATTAGGAGAAAATGCCTCCGGCTTGGTTGGGCTTAGTTTAGCAACTTTTGAACGTACAAAGGTCAAGTTTTCAGTTAGAAACAGAAAAAAGTGAAAATTTTTAAAAAATGA